CACCTAGACACCCCTGTTTTTAAACTCTTAATTAAAAATATGAAGAGAATAGGTTGAAAGCTCTTTGTTTTTCAAGATTTTATATATTTATCTGAGAGAAAGAGAGAGCGATAGAGCGAGCACAAGCAGGGAGGAGAGGGAGAAGCAGACTCCCCGCTGAGCATGGAGCCCGGCCTGGGGCTCAGTTCCAGGACCCAGAGATCATGACCTGAGCCAAAGGCAGACACTTAACTGACTGAGCCACCCAGGAACCCCAGTTGAATGTTTTATCCTAAAATGCTGATAAGCATGGTAAATTCCCCTTATTACACAAAATATAATAAGTTTAACATAGTGTTTAACCAGGAAATGAAGTATTTAAACAAAGGCAGAATTCTTTGAGAGTAACAGAGTTAGAATTAGTCAGACATACAAGGTCCCTTTTCTCAGCTGAAGAATCTTTCCCAGAGCATGAATGTGTTAGATCTGAACCCAAGGGCCCAACCCAGTCAGCTCCTACAAGTGTTCCCATTTTAAATGGATGTCTGGGCCTATCCAAATTCAAACCCTAAGAATTTTGAGTCACCTGAAGGGTTTAGGACACTCCTGCTACTTGAGGATCAGTTTTAATGTAAAATATTCTGCAAAATAGTTCTTAATTACTTTGATTTTTGTGTTCTCATCATAATCTTTCTGTTATTTTCTCTTTGATTTTTAGGATCAATTTTAACATAAGCAGTGTACATACAATTCTGTAGAGAATGGCATCTAAAATCTGGAATATTGACTTACCTTGTAGATGGGAACTCCCTTCCTCCTTATTGACTAATGACCAAAAGTGCCGTTTCCACACATCTTTTCCTCTTCGAACTAGAACCTTTCTGCGTTTTTCTTATACTTTTGGCTTAATATTATATAAACCAAATAGAAGAAAATAAATAAAGCATTATTAATTTAAGCAAAACCTCAATACATTTTAGCATTGTTACTGACAAGTGACTATAACACCCTATTTGTGCCCTCAAAATAGAGAAACAGTGTTTCTTTTGATTATGGGAGTAGGGGATTGGATACAGGAGAAATGAGCAGGAAATAGATCAGAAATTCTTACAGTGCACACATTACAATTAAAACTTCACTGTAAAAATAGAAAATGTTCACTTGGAGAGTTGTAGCCAGACATTGGAAGAAATGAAAGGAAATCAGGATCTCATCCAGTTTATAATAAACAGTATCCAAATCTAAAAAAACAAAAACTTCACTATACCATCTATCTATAATTTACCATCTATCTGTAATTCTAATTTTGTAATATTGAAAAAATTGTTGAGAAAAAGAATAAAATCACCCATCCCATCTGCCTCAACATCATACTGTTTTCATTTTTGCATATTCTCCCTGTCTGCTTAAACCATACTACATACTTGCAACCATATTGTGGATATGATTTAGAATTCTGAGGTCAGCGGCGGGGGGTTTCCACTTAACATTTTATTTTAAACATAATTTCTTTGTTAATGGGTTTTTTGTGCAGAAGATATAAAAATTGGAGGGAATAGGTCTGCCTTTAAATGTGATTATTTTATAATTACACTTCTTTAAAGTGGTCACATTGGTCGCTTTAAAGTGGTTACAGACTTGGGGCACCTGGGTGGCTCAGTCGTTAAGCGTCTGCCTTCGGCTCAGGTCATGATCCCAGGGTCCTGGGATCGAGCCCCGCATCGGGCTCCCTGCTCCGCAGGAAGCCTGCTTCTCCCTCTCCCACTCCCCGTGCTTGTGTTCCCTCTCTCGCTGTGTCTCTCTCTGTCAAATAAATAAATAAAATCTTTAAAACAATAAAAAAAATAAAGTGGCTACAGACTTAGAATTTATGTAATGTTTTTGAAGTTCACAATACTGTATTAATTCTCTCTTCCCACATTCGTTCTATTCTGGGCCCATAAGAAAATATACAGTGGAAAACCCAATTTTTTGAGGCGGTAATGGCTGTTGAAGTGTTGGGAGTCCTCAAAGAGTGTACACAGCCCCCTCTCGCTGTTCCCTACAGTACTTGGCCTTCCTTGAACCCTTGAGGATATTGATAATATTCCGTTAAAATCCAGATACCTCAGGGTTGGTCAGTGCTCACCTTTAATCAACCTGAAGCAAACCCCTGGTGGATGGTGTGGTCTACCTGTGTGAACCCCTGACCACACCTGCAGTTCCCTGCCCAGCCTCTGCTTCTGCAGTCCAGTGTCTATGGAGAACTCTCCAGCAGTCAAGAGCAATGAAAAAGAAGAGGCATCAAAAGAACATTTAGTTTACTTATTACATGCTCACTATCAGGGCCATACCAGTCAGTAAACTAGGAGAATGGAAGAAGCCTAAAATTAGCCACTCTCCTTTAGTTTCTGAAATGCCCTCTCTGTAGACAGGGTATACACAGCACAACAGTAGAACTGACAAGAATGTGTGAGTTCATTTGTGAGGTATGCTCTAAGTAATTTGTGGATCATACTCGTTAAAGATACCAAAGTTTGTAGATGATACAGTGCTAGATTGATTCAGTGGCAGTTTGACTTACTTGCATTCTGAGATGTTCCTTCTTGAGTGGGAGGGTTTGGCAGTCACAGCCCACCTTGGAAATTGCACCTGAGTCTGGTAGCAGGCATCACAGATGTGTATGCCAGTTGTCATCTGTTTGGCAGAAGGTAAAAAGACAAGAATTGCAGGGAGGGGGCCCAGAAATACAAAGATGGGATAAAGAGAATGACCGTTCTGAGAAAACAAAGGGTCTGTTTCAGATGTGCGCTGGTCACTTCCTTCTAGTGCATCTCTGATGTCTTCTGTCCCCTATATCTTTAAAATGATATCTGATTAAGAGGAAGAAAGTATAATGGATTAAACCATGACAAGAATGGTTAAAGACAGGGGCTCCTGGGTGGCTCAGTCGTTAAGCGTCTGCCTTCGGCTCAGGTCATGATCTCAGGGTCCTGGGATCGAGTCCCATATCGGGCTCCCTGCTCCGCGGGAAGCCTGCTTCTCCCTCTCCCTTTCCTCCTGCTTGTGTTCCCTCTCTTGATGTGTCTCTCTCTGTCAAATAAATAAATAAAATCTTTAAAAAAAAAAAAAAAGAATGTATAAGGACATGTGGAACCCAATTATTTTTATTGAGAATATAGACCCTTTAACAGTTTCTTTTCACAGTTTAAAAAAATGCAGACATACAGAGCCTAAGTGGGGTATAGAAATGGCATTTGGTTTTAACATAATATGATATCACTAACTCAGAGTAGCTGAATCAAGATCTTTTTTCAGCATAAAATACAGTAAAGTCTAAATGTTTATAGTGCCTCAGGTTTTGAAATCTAGAAACTGAGAGCTGCACCATTAGGGATGAGTTTCTACAGTACAATTCTAACTAGAGGCAATCATAAATTCACACGTGTGAGAAGAAATAATAGTAAAAAAACCTTTAGAAGAATATTTTTAAAACAGAAGAAATGAGTCATCTGTATGCTATGCAAATTTTTTAAGTCGGTAATTTAGAAATTAATTTTTCCTTTATATTTGGGGAAAAAATGTAGTTAGGTCTGTAAAGTTCAGAAATGTCCCTTTCAGAGCTGGGCAGTGATGAAAACTATTGAATTTTCTGCAGTGTTGGAAATGTTCTCTGTCTGTGCTATCCAAACAATCGCCACTTGCCACATGTGGCTAGTGAGCATTGAAATGTGCAATTGAAGAACTAAATTGTTAATTTTAGTTAATTTTAGTTAATTTAAATTTAAATACCCACATGTGCCCAGTGTCTATCATATTGTTAAGGCTTTAAAATGACTTAAAGTCAGGGGTGCCTGGGTGGCTCAGTCAGTTAAGCGTCTGACTTCTGCTCAGGTCATGATCCCAGGTCCTGGGATTGTCCCGCATCAGGCCCGCACTCAGCAGGAATCTGCTTCTCCCTCTCCCTCTGCCCTTTCCCCTACTCATTCTCTCTCTCTCTCTCAAATAAATAAATAAAATCTTTAAAATAAATAAATAAATAAAAAGACTTAAAGTCAAATTGCATAGTAGTAGATATGCCTTGCCACATAGTGAATTCATTAACTAAATATCATTTTGTGATTCTTTGGCTTTTAATTTTTTTTTTTTTTTTAATTTTTTTGTACCTTGTACTAAGTGGAGTCATTACCACTCCTGACTTAGCTTATCTTTAAAACAGTATGTCTTTGGGGTGCCTGGGTGGTTCAGTACGTTAAGCTACCAGTTCTTGGTTTCAGCTCAGGTCATGATCTCAGGCTTGTGAGATTGAGCCCCGCATCTGGCTCTGTGCTCAGCAGGGAGTCTGCTTGAGATTCCGTCCCCCTCCCTCTCCCTCTGCCCCTCCGCCCCACACACGCTCTTTCTCTCTCTCTCTCAAATAAAATAATAAAATCTAAAAAAAAAAATTTAAACAGTATGTCTTTTACCTTAAAAACTTCTAAATCGGGCGCATGGGTGTCTCAGTTAAGCAACTGCCTTCGGCTCAGGTCATGATCCCGGGGTCCTGGGATCGAGTTCCACATCGGGTTCCCCCTGCTTGTGCTCTCTCTCTCTGTCAAATAAATAAATAAAATTTTTAAAAAATTTTTTTAAAAATTAAAAACTTCTAAATCATAAGCCCCGAAGTGCCAGTTTTAGGAGAGAGCAAAATACGGATGCTGTCTGCTCAGAGGGTACGCTTGTCCTACGTTTGTGGGTTTTTTTTACATTTAAAACAAATTACAAAGCTGAAATGTTTGGGAGTGCAATATACTGATGTCTAGAACTTACTTTAAAAGTGGGTTGATGGATGGATAGATGGTAGATGTGTGGTAAAGAAAATAAAGCAAACTATGAACAATCTAGGGCTGTTCACTGTGCTATTCTTTCAACTTTTCTGAAAGTTTCATAAAATCAGTCAGCCTCATGATAAAATGTTGGGAGAAATTTAAATGTAAGCATATGAAATATTTTAAAGTCTTTTTTTTTTTTTTTCTCGGATCTATCACTTCTCTGTTAAATAGAGCCAAGGAGCAATAACCGAACGTTTACGAAGTTTTAGTATGCATGATCTAACAGCTATCCAGGGCGATGAGCCTGTGGGACAAAGGCCATTCCAACCTCTACAAGAAACAAAAAAGAAAAGTAAATCAGTCTCCGGTGAATCAGCAGGTGTGCTTGTTTGTTTTGATATATTTTTCTTTCACAATTGGAATTTTGAGTCCAGGTGGGTACTAAAATAATACATGGTAACTCTGAATTTGAGTAGACACGATTTACGCTGATGTTTGTGAATTTACACTTAACTGAAGTTGTCTTTCTCTCAGTTTTCTCTAAAGTTAATGCTTGCCTTTTGTTGACTCTAGAGATCATCCAACTAAGAAAGTAACAGTATCCTCTTGTGCCATCATGAGTTTTTAGAAGCCTTTGGTGTGGCCACGCCCACTCCCCACCCTGGCACGAGTGATTAGTCCTCTTTCAACTCAAACTGTGTAGTGACATCTAAGGAGTCACTCTTTACTATTTTTTTTTAAACACTCTTTACTGTAAATGCCATGAACAAATAAGGATAATTGACTCACAAGATAAAACGTTTGAAGTGGGTGACAAAGGATGACTCCGTTTGTAAACAGGATTACTGCAATGGGAAATATGTTGGAATAACATATTCTCGTTCAAGAACTAACTTATAGGTATTTCTAATGTAAATTAGGAGCATGGCAGAGGTGATATGTTCTAAAACTTCAACAAATTATTCTGATCTTAGAAATATACACATAGGGGTGCCTGGGTGGCTAAGTCGGTTTAAGCGTCTGCCTTCAACTCAGGTCATGATCCCAGGGTCCTGGGATCGAGCCCCACATCGGGCTCCCTGCTCAGTAGGAGCCTGCTTCTCCCTCTGCTCCCGGCTTATGCTTTCTCTCGCTATCTCTGTCACTATCTGTCTCTCTCTCAAATAAATAAATAAAATCTTAAAAAATACATATATACACATAAATAAAAAGACATCACTCCTTAGTCATTTTATCACATGTAAGAAAGTTTTAGTTCAAGGCTCAGCTAAAAATTAAGATCTTCACGACATTTCTTATTAATATATTGTTAAGTCCATAAGATACAAGGCTATTCAATGTTTTTTTTTAAGTAGTTTTCTTTTGAGGGAGGTTAAAAATCGTCCTTTATATTGAAACCAATTTGAGAAGTAAAATAACAGTTCCTTCCTATATAGAAAAAATAGTGAACTTTCTTCTGAGTTCTCTCTAGAATGAATAACTTTACAAAGTGGGTGGCTGCTACGTAAGAGGTAGTAATTAAGCATTGGCCATTGATTAAGGTAGTAATATCTTTAAGAATGAGAACCACTGAACTTTGAACCATTATCCTCAATACATTAACAGTGTAAAAGTTTCCAATATAGGCATTTTCTTAATACACGTTTAAAAATTGGGTATACTGGTTTTGATTATGGGGTCTACTGTATATATTTTGCTGGATTTAGACCAGTTATCTGAGTCCTTTATCAGCGGTTTATTAATAATTATACTTTAGAATTGGCTAAGAATGATATTCTGATATTTAAATGAAGAGATGATTATAAATATGAAAATCCATAGCTATCTTTATGATATTCATCTATTAAACTTAAAATGATGTGACTATTTTAAGATAGTAAGGTGCTATTTAGTTCTTCTGTTAAATTTTAAGCCGTGAAAATTAAAATAACTTAAGATTAGAGAGATATGAAGTAAGTAGTAGCAGTACAAAAAAAGGGACTTGTTCAGTTATGAAATTAAAATTTTAATATGCATTACTTTGCCCAAGTTCCAAGTTTCTTACAGAATGGTATATATTCTGAGCTTTTCTTCCCTAAGGAAGAAATTTAACAAAAACATTCTCTCTTGAAAATATTTTTAAAAAGTAGTAAGGTTCCAGAACAGGAATAGTTGAAGAGAAGATAATTATAGATAGTCTATGTAAACACGAGTCCAGATATACATGGAAGTTTATCAAATGAGGATGATGCCCTTCAGGTCGCTGGGGGAAAGGCAGAATTAAATAAGGGTGTCAGAATAATTGCTAGACTTTGAAGATGGGGTAGGGAATGAAGTTACACTAACTCTGTCTCAAGCCCTTCATCAAAATACCTAAAAGGTTAAGACATACATGTAGGGCGCCTGGGTGGCTCAGTTGGTTAAGCGACTGCCTTCGGCTCAGGTCATGATCCTGGAGTCCCAGGATAGAGTCCCGCATCGGGCTCCCTGCTCGGCAGGGAGTCTGCTTCTCCCTCTGACCCTCCCCCCTCTCATGTGCTCTCTCTCTCATTCTCTCTGTCAAATAAAGGAATAAAATCTTTAAAAAGAAAAAAAAAAAAGACGTACATGTAAGACACTGAACAGTGGGACATTCCTGACTATATATTTATACCGTTAGGATATGCCGGACTTCTTAAGCATGACATCAAAACCAGAAGACATAAATGAAAAACTTGAGAGATTTTTCTATATAAAAAAAATGTATAAAGGGCGCCTGGGTGGCTCAGTTGGTTAAGCGACTGCCTTCGGCTCAGGTCATGATCTTGGAGTCCCTGGATCGAGTCCCGCATCGGGCTCCCTGCTCAGCGGGGAGTCTGCTTCTCCCTCTGACCCTCCCCCATCTCAAGCTCTCTCTCTCTCTCTCAGTCTCTCTCTCAAATAAATAAATAAAATCTTTAAAAAAAATGTATAACATATAAGGGGGAAATATTCCACGCCATAAGAAAACAAACTAGAAGAAATATTCTCATCTGATACAGGCAAAGGGCTCAGATTTTAACCAAAGAATTCTTGCAAGCCAATTATTGTTACATCTACCAAAGAATACAGCTGACCAATTAATACATGAAAAAGAAACTCAGCCTCACAAAGAAACAGTAAATTAAAATGGTAATCATAGTAATTTTTGCTCACCAGATTGGCAAAAGAATTTTCTTAATTAGCACTGTTCTGTGTTGGTAACTATTCTAGTACTCTATTTCTGTATAACGAACTACAAACAGTGGCCTTAAAAAAAGTCACAGTCATTTTATTTTACTCCTGAATCTGGGGGCGACTGGGCTCAAGCAGGCAGTTCCTGCTCAGGGTCTTAATGCAGCCACAGGGAGACAGCACCTAGGGCTGGAGTCATAATGTCAAAGGCTTCTTCACTCACACGGCCGGTATGTTAGCTGTGAAGAGTCACACAGCAGATGGCTCAAAGAGGCGGGGCCTCTCTGGCCTCTCCTTCCCTACGTCTCTCTACGTGCTCTCTCAGAGCTCTGGGGCTTCTTACCTGGCAGCTAAAAGCTCCCACAGCCAGTCTTCCAAGAGAAGTGGCAGGAATCAGACAGCATCACTTCTGTCTTAGGGCAATCTATTGAGACAGGTACCTATACAGATCCTCGAGATTTAAGGGAAGAAGAGGGGCACCTGGCTGGCTCAGTTGGTGGTGCATGCAACTCTTGATCTCGGGATTGTGAGTTCAAGCCCCATGTTGGATGTAAAGATGACCTTTAAAAAGATGTAAAAAAAAAAGAGATCTAAGGGAGGAGGAGAAAAGTGTCAGAATTTGTGGACATGTTCTAAAATCACCACAGCAAGCATGTTGGGAAACAAACACTCTCACTTTTTAAGAGATTTAAGTGGAATAATCCTTTTTTATGACAATCTGGCAATAATTATCAAAATTTATTCCCTTTAACTTAAGCAAAAAACTTCTAGGACTATATCATAGAGAAATAATCAGACAAGTGTTCAAAGAAGTATGTACAAGAACGTTCATCTCATTGCTTATAGTAACAAAATACTGGAACAAACCAAATGCCTAAGAAAAACGGTTAAACAGAAGCGTGGTTTATTAGCCATGAAAATTCATACTGTCAGTCCATACTTGCTGACATGAAAACATATCCAGATCATGGGGAAATAAACAATAACAATAAAACAATATGTGTGTTATGCTGTAGAGACACAATAAATAGGTGAAATGCATTAATATATTTGAATTTTCAAATGTGTATACATAGGGAAGAGTCTGGAAGGGTATTGCTAAATTATCAACAGTGTTCAGTTCTGAGTATGGGACTTAAGTGATTTTTTTTTTTTAATCAACCTATTTTCAAAATCAGAAAGAACAGTACTCTTCTTTTTGAAAAATAAGGTACTCATTTTTTTATGTCATGAATTATTTTTTATTTCATTTACTTCCAGAATTCCTCAAGAAAAAATAGTAAGTTTTTCAGTGTGGTAATTGCATCCACATTGCAAAGTGTTTACTGCTTCATGTGATCAATACATTTACTTCAGGTGCTCTGCTTGTTCCCACAAGCAAACTCAAATATCTGGAAATTTGAATCCAGTTTGAAAACTCATCATGGCCTGCTGTGAGTGGTTTGAGGTTAAGTGGTCAAGAGAAGTCCTACTTTGATGAAGTGATTTAAGTCTGCATGTTGTCACTATGGCAAAAAGAGCTCCCTCCAAATGCTTCTTTGTAAGAAAATAGATGCCTTGGACATGATGTTCACATTCCTTGAAAGGACACCACATTGTGATAAGTGGAAATATTTTTTCTGCAAAGATACTGCTGCTCCCATATCAGTTAAAAGTGGCCCAATGTTCTGTTTCAATACCAGTAAATAAAGAAATAAAGCATATATTTTTTGTTTTGCTTTGGTGCTTTACATATTTATTTAATCCTTAAGATGACTACACAGTTTAAGTATTTCATCTTTATTTTTTATCTTTTTTTAAGATTTTATTTATTTTGACAGAGCGAGAGCACGAGCAGGGGGAGTGGCAGGCAGAGGGAAAGGGAGAAGCAGGCTTCCCGCTGAGCAGGGAGCCCGATGTGGGGCTCGGTCCCAGGACCTTGGGATCATGACCTGAGCCAAAGGCAGATGCTCAACCGACTGAGCCACCCAGGCGCCCCTAATTTTTTGGATGATTAAACAGTCATAAGGAGATTAAAATACCTTTCAGGGGCTAACTACATAGTCAATAACAGAAATGAGGTATCCACGGTTCTCTTTTTCATTTATAAAAAGGCTACACTTCGTGGCACGGTTGGGCTGGAACTAGGAATTCCAGTAATTTGAGCAGGTAGCAACCTTAGCGATGCTTTAGTCAAAGATGGTGGACGGGTGTGCTGCCTGCTGCCTGCTCCCGTGCTCACGGTGGCAGCCATTGCTGAAGGACCGTGGCACTTTCCCACGCTGGCTCACAGGCCCCCTCAACATAACGCCCCGCACAGCTCGACTGGGTCAGAGTTGGCATTCATCCTCTCATCTGTCTCACCCCCTTACCGTACGAGAAAACAGGCCTGCAGAGAGGCAAGACTCACTCTGGGTCTCACGGCTCATAGGTGGTCGAGTACTCCCGTGTCCTAACATCGGTCCAGGCCTCCTTCCAGGTCAAACTTCCTGTGATTCCACACTTAGATTCATATGTAGAAACGGCTTAAAGCGGTGGGTGGCTAAGTACTGGATTAATGTTGGCTTTTATTATTACTATAAGGGGGGAAACTTAAACTATACCAACTCTAAGATGGAGGAGCTGTGTGAATCCCGGGTCCGTTTCCTAAAGTGGAGACAGCGCCCAGGGTCACACAGGCTCCTCAGCCTTGGGTCCCCAGTCACTGCTCCTCAAGAATCTGCATGCGAGGGCTCTGTCCAGTGTAGATCAGTGATGTAAAGCAGTCGACCTGAGCGCCACTTTGAATGGCGGCAGCGGCTGCACTTGGCCCGGGCCTGGCAGTCCCGTGAAGCACTCAGCCCACTCACCGAGGGCCTGCTCCGGGATGGCACCCAGATCTGGGCTTCCCTCATCGTCTCGGCTCTCCCTTCTGCCCCCAACACTTGCGTCCTTGGACAACTTGGATTAACATTTCAATCCATCACTTTCTCTGAAACCATAATTAGAAAACTAACAAGATTTGTTACCTGAAATTAGGAAACAAAGAAAGTAAGATATATATATATAATCCTCTTTTGAATGAAGTTCCAATTCCTAATCATATTCATAAAGTGAGGAGTGATTAAAATAGCAAGGACCATGTTTGTTGACCTGTAGTCTTATGCTTCATCTGTGACCTTAGAGAACTTTCTGGTCACAGTTGCTTCCTTTCTGACTCTTTCCTTGATTCCTCATTCTGCGTTTTACCTTAGTTTTATTGGGGTCGAGAATATTGTGGAAGCAACAGCGATAGATAAAAATCTAGAATTGACAACCTAAAAACAATTTTTTTCTGGCTTATTTTCCCCAATTATAAAAATAATACAATTTTTTAATTAATAAAATTGGGCAAATTTTTTTAAAAAAGAAAAAATTTAAAATCACCTAAAAGCCCACTTTCAAGAGATCTAATGGTTTCATTGTTTTTTCCTCTGCTTCGGTATGTACATTTTTTTTCCACTTACTACTGTATCAGGAGCTTCCTGCCAGGACCACTGACCCAGTCCCTCTCCGGGCCACGCTCACCTTCTCGCAGCAAACAGTGCGGCTACCCCCTGCCCTAGCCCCCGGCAGGGGCTCTCTCCTACCTAGAACACAATTCCTTGGACTGAGGCAGGAGAACAAAACATCTTGGCCTAAATTATGACAGATTCTACTCCCAAATCCTTCCAATTTTTAGCCTGGAAGCCTGGCAGCATAAAATTGTACTTGCATAATATAATATACAATTAAAGGTGTGTATCTTATTATGAGACCAAGAAGCTTATTAACAACTCTTCATGGTTTGTTTCGTGAGTTTGAAGTTATTCATGGCCTGGGAGAGCAGATTAATAAACGTTTAGTCAGTATGTCTTTCTTCACGTGCAAGGAGTCCATCCCTTGCCCCCTCCTGAACCTGGGAAAACTCCTTTCTTCCTCACCTGAGGATTTAGATATTTATGCTCCTTATCCTTATTAAAGGAAAATTTGAAACCTAATAGGGTCGTGTAACCTAACCTCACCCTCGTCTTTATAACTGACTGCTTTTCTAGCACTCTGGTTTGCTATAGACTTGGGCCCCTGTGTTGCTCCATCCAGGCGGGGGTTCTCAAAAATGCAGGCCCTGCACCAGGGCATCAACATCACCTAGGGACTTGTTAGAGATGTAGATTCTCCTCAGCTCCACTCTCGGCCCAGCAGTCTTTGTTTTAGCAAGTGCTCCAGGTGACTCAATGTGTGCTAATCAGTCTTTACTAATAAAGTCTACCAAGCTTGAGAACCACGGCTTCAGGAATGGGAGCGTTCTTGTCTGAATCCCAGCGTCGGAATGCTGTCAGACTTCCTGACAGTAACCAGCCTGACTACCTGGATGTTTGCAGATTGGCCAATGTTAAGTCTTCTGGAGCTACATGGAGCAGCCTGTTGGCACACCCACACGGCCTCGTGCTGCCTTCCTGAGGCTGGTTCTTTTCTTTGACTAACATCTGTCATCGCAGCCCGTGGTGTTTCTAATTACTGTAGGCCATCCAGCTGGGTTGTATCTCAGCAGCTGCAACAGTGTTGGCTTAACATCTCCATCACCTGCCCCCGGTGAACTTAACTCGCCCAAAGTGCCAGCCCCTTTGGGTATTATTTGACTCCTTAAATTCACCCTCCCGTTCCCGCTCTCGACAAAAGTTTTGACGCCTGGTGGGCGGAAACCCTTCATTTCTCATTAAAGTCAAAGGCACAAATGACAAACACAATAAAACACAAAATTGCGTAGATTGTTTAGAGTTCACGAAGAGATCTGTCTCAATATATACCTGCTTATACTCTTTGAGTTTCGAACAAGATGTTACCTACTCAAAAATAAATTATTTTGAATTGTTCTGAAAAACGCATAGTAAAAATAGGAGTGGTCGGGGGCAACTTCCTGGAAGCAATGAATGATGAGCTTGATCCAGAATAGTGTGCAGGGCAGAGACTGGTGACAAAGGAAAGGGAGCACATTCCAGATGAGGAAGGGAGAGGAGTGAGGGGGCGAATGCAAACCAGGCAGAGAAGTGCACTCAGAGCACTGTCCTTTCACCAAAACATGCTGGTTTTGACCGCTCGTTTAGGTTATGGAATTCCACTGAAAGACGGAGATGAGAAAACTGATGAAGAAGCGGAGGGGCCGTATTCAGATGATGAGATGTTAACACACAAAGGGCTTCGAAGATCGCAAAGCATGAAATCTGTGAAAACCGTGAAAGGCCGCAAAGAGGTTAGTCAGGTACAGAGTTGTCTTCCTAATGATTCCTATTCCTTTCCCTGCTGCATTATCACTCAGGATACTAATGATCCATAAGGGAAGAACAGAGGAGGAGATCAGCAGTTACATTTAAAATTCTTTATTCAGATTGGATATATTAGGATCTCTGGAAATTTACAAAATGGTAAATCCCTGCTTCCTCTGTGAGTAGAAAATGGTATTCTCCTAGAGCAAGTCATATGGTGGTCATGAGCACCCCAGTGTTAGTCCTACACGTAAGCAAAGAGAGCAACTAACAAAAGTAACTACATAGTTCTGCTTTGAACCAACCCTGTATGAGGATTAAATAGAAGTTTATCCATAATAATATATTGTCTTTGTGTCCAGAAAGCAGTGGAGGAATTCAGTCTGTCTATGGCCTCCGATCATCGGGAACCATTGGCGTACCAGGCAGAGCAGAACTGACAACAGTTAATGTTTTTGTTATTAGCGATAATAGCGTGCAGCATATATCCAACATAGTAGCAGCTCCATGTTTGAGTATGTCAGCAGCAGTGTCTTCTGAGTTTGGAAGCACACTTCTAGGATAACTGACGCTTTATATTAGAAAAGTCAAAAAATTATTACTGTGATTATGAGCTATTCAGTTCTATCTAAGTTCAAAAGTAATCATCTGATTTGTGATAATGACCTGTTTCTCTCTTCAGGTACGGTATGGATCACTAAAATACAAAGTGAAGAAGAGACCACAGGTGTATTTTTAGTCATCTGCACTTCAAGAATCCCAAGACAAATTACACTAACACGTTGACTTTTTTGCTAACATTATTCATTCAGGACTTACACATTAAAATAATACTTTAAATTGTGGCAGTGATAGGGTTTATTTTCATCAATTTAAATAGCTTTTAATTTCTTTCACCATTACTTCCATGTCCAGAATACGAAAGGTAGTTATGCAGAGCTTATTTATGTATATGTATATATATCTCAGAAATAATAGAAAATTGTGTTACCTGTTTTCAAATTCCTCAACAACACTGAGTGCCTGGGATATTAAGATGAAACACAAACCCACAGTATACTTGAGTCTTTTTACGGTTTAAGATACATCAGCCTTTGTGCTATTGTATTTGTGTTTACCTCTGTTTATATTCTATCTATCACATGAGGATAGTAATTAAGTAGGCCTCTGATCCAGCAGTGATAGGACAAGGGTATAATGTAAGATAACAGCATGTTTTATATATCCTTTAAATTTTTACTTTTTTAATACTTTCTGGTTTTTCCATCGTCGACTGAAAGTTTTCGAAACAAGTGTTTGAAAGCCTGGTCTCCACATAGCACTTTTTATTCCTGACTAGTTTTGCACACTTGAAAATTGTTTACTTATTTGCGACTGTACATTTAAGTTTTATTGACACTATACTGTTATTTGTCACATCCCGACATGTCACATTTATGCCTTGAATTTCGTCATCTCTTTTCCTGTGGGTTTCATTTGTTAAATTCATTAGATTCTAATAATATGAAAATACAGCTCATTGTTCAACTTTAACTATTTTTAACTCTCTGTAGGTGAGAAGCTGTTTTAAACATCAACCAGTTTTCCATACATCATAGTTGAACTTAGCATGTTCTGTTAACACTGGTTACATTTTCAGCATTTAAATAGAGTAGTTTTTGTGAAACAGGGTCATGAAGTTACCCAACAGTTGGTCCATTCACAAGCCTAGCACTGATACGTGCTGCTGATTTATAAATCTATATTGACTAGAATCATTTAAATCTCCCGTCTTCTGGCTGAGTTCGTTCCCTGAAGATAGGTGCCAATGCAAAATACAGATGTTAATCTTACATACTAGAAGCTACTAGAATAGATATTAGAAAAATATTTTTTTAATCCAAGAGATTTTGAATTACAGAACACGGAGGCTTTTTTAGGTGGCATTGATAACTATGCATTCTGAAGTCTCTATTTCTGGTGGTGGTTTTAATGATCCGTAGTCAAATTTGTACAGTTAATTCAGATAATTTACTTTGACTGTTCTGTTTGTCGAAAAGAAAAAGCAGTGAGCAAGATTTGTGAGATCGTTGACTTCTCTACCTTTTTAAGAAATGAAACCAGCTGGCAATGTATATTCAGGACCTCCTCAGAGTGTTGGCAGAGAACAGAATGTTTATTTAAGAGTACCTTAGTTTAATTAATACATTGCTCTTGATACAAGTCTCAAAACATTTTCTGGACTATCTCACATTCTTGATATATAACATCAAGAAAAAATTCGCTCAACTTCTTTTCTCCAAAAGTTTAATTCTATGAATATCTTCATCTACTTTACCTTGACTAATTTGTAGCCTTTGAGTTTCGAGAAAAACTCTTTGTGTTCAAAATTCCTAGGGATTCTGATTATAAATGCTTGGAATATTGCAAAACTCCTTGGAAGGGAGTTTTATTTATATTTCCTCGTACCAGACTTATTAATACAAATGCTACACCGTATATGTCTTTCCTGCCTAAAGGCAGTGTCATCTCAAGTAGCCTGACAAAGTCACGTAAGTGACTCTATCTAAAAACATTACCTGTGCGGGCTGTTCTGCTCCATTTTATCTTTTCTAAGTCTGATCTGAGTATTAAACCTATTCCTTAATTATAGTAAACTCATAAATACTGTTCTAAATTGGAGGCATTATTTATCCCTCTCCACAAATAAGACAGCACAGGTCGCATGTCCTTCTCCACACGGTGCTTCCTCTGGTCTGTTTCTACTGTTACATGCAGTGGATGTCACTTTGCTGTTCCATCATTCCTTTCTCTCCTTTCCTTACATTTCTGACATTTTGCTGCTTTTCTCTTGTGTGTGTTTTAGCATGCCCTTTCCTTGGAACTTTGTGTGATAAGCTTATAAATCTTTGTCTCTTTTAAGGTGGAACAGGTCAGTTTTTGTTTCTCTGCTTTTGAGTCCACTGCTTTTAAAAGAGGTAAATTTCTCTCTCGACCACAGTGCCTTGTTTTCCCAATGCCACCATTTGGTGAAGGGGCATGAGATGCTGCGCAAGCCTATTTAAGGCGATATAATGGTAGCTGTTAAAATTTATGCAGAAATTGTAGCCGGTGTTTTATTTTATTATATATTCATTCAGCTTGTGCATTAATATTAACTGTTCCCCGAGTTTGTTTGGAAGTGACAGTTGATCTATTCTTTAGTTTACCGTGTTTTTTCTGGGATAAAAAAACGAGCCAGAAGTAAGTCTTATTGCTAAGTAATTAATTATGTAAACCCATGTAGGTCCCGCACAAGATTCCCTCCACACAGTTCACTCTATGTATGTGGATTTGGCTAGAAAGTGGTAACTGCCAGCATTACTGATTATAAATACTTGACTACACAGATTGATGGAACAAAATTATTAAAGTGTTTTCAGGGAATTGAATCCATATGTCACCACCAAAGATTCATACAGTGTTAAAAAATATGTAAATATTCCAAATCTCTGTAAAACACTGGTTAGATAAATATGTCTTCTTTCGTTTCCTTTTTTGATAACATAGTTTGAGCTTCTGTAATACTTGAACTTTTGTGTTAAAAAGAATCCAATGCTATTTCCTATTAAATATGAGTAATTTGTATGTTTAATTGGAATGGACTAAATTTTTATTTTGGTTTTCTTTTATCAGGAAAATTAAAGAGTTAATATGTATCGACAAGCAATTTCCTACATGTTCCTATAGGCCAATTCATTTGCAAAGCAATTAGGCAATTTTGAAATCATTGTTACTGTGGTATGCAGTGTATATTTCTTAGTAAACATCATGTAAGAGTAAAACTTTCCAAAAGAAAAATACAGCTTTTTCCTCTAAATGGTTAAAGATTTAATCTTATAGTAGTATTCTACAGATTCGTTGTATATTAACTTTTTAAAAATTGACCATGAATTAACATTTTCTCCTCTAACACCTCTTAAATCTGTGTACTTTCATAGTTCAGAGAAAGCTGTTTTGTAATTTTTTAAACTCTTTGTAAAGGCTCTCTTGAGGCCTAGTATGGGGGTAATTTTACAAATGTGTTTTTTGAAAACTTTAATATAAAATAAACTCATTTTATTAGTGACAGCTTGTATTGTTTTTGTGTGTCAGAGGTCAGAGTACCTATGTTGGGTTCCATAAATTTATATTATTTATTATGGAGTATGTATATAGTATTATGTACATATTACATAATAGATAATGTATCCACACACTTAAGATTCCAAATCACAGAGCAAATTATTAAAAAATCATATACATTCTGGAATGGTCATAGAATTACAAAAGAAACACTGAATTGTTAAATTCAGATGTTGGAATGGGAAGATATAAAAAAAATTAGTACAGAAACCCTAGCCATCAATTTGTATTGGTTAGCTGTCTCAGACATCAAATATAACACAAAATTCAGTTTTATGTTTCCTGGGAATGTTCTGGGGTTCCATCTGTTTTAAAGTCAGACGTCTGTCTGCCTCACATTTAAGCTTTAGAGAGAAATCCTATGTTTAAAAAAGTTTTTTTGTGTTACTTCATTATGCTATATAATGTGTTAAAGTATTTCCAAATGGAGTTATGTTTTCATCTTTATTAGGAGGTATATCCTTGTGATGATCCAAAGAAGTTAGAAACTTAAATAAAAATTCAAAAGGACACAATGGATATATGAATTGCAGCATTTTCCGCAGTGTTTTATTCTCCCTTTAAGTGGTTCACTGTTCTTAAGAAAGAGATTCATGGAACAAAAATCATGTCAGAGACCAATCCATTGTTCCATGGAAAACATTCCCTCCCTTTTACCTCTCCATCAGTATTCTAGCCTTGAAACATTCTCCTTAGGGTCTGGTTTTGGTAGTGTTTTTTAAATTGCTTTTTATAAGATAATGCTTTGAACTGAAATTTTAAAGCACAAGATTGATAACTGTCTATGCGTGTAGGATACTAAAAGACTGCTGGGCAGGAAAATCGCCAAGCTTAGCCTTAGTTTATCTGGCAAGCCCAGATTAAAGGCAAAAGAGAAGGAAAATAGGGTATTTTGGCCTTATGTGCAAATCAGAGTAGCATCAATCATTTTCATGTAGAAATACTCCTTGAGTGCCTGCTGTTTAGAGCAACAATGCCTGGATCCAAGTGGGACAGCACAACAAAAAGCAATAATTCTTGCTTTTTAAAAAAAACAAAATGTTTGGATTATTTGAGGAGGATTTATGCTGGGATTTCTTCTAGGTTATCGAATAATTCATTTGGTTTCTCTCAGAGCAGGTTTTTGTTTGCTTATTTGTTTGGGTTTTCATCCTTGGTTCCTTCTTTTCCTTACTTCTTACATCCAATACAGTCCTAAGCGCTTTTGACTCTGTCCAAAATACACAGGCAGACTGCGGAGAAATTGCCAGCTAGGTTCCAGACCACTGCAATGAAGCAGGTATCGCAATAAAGCAAGGCAGATGAATGTGTTAGACATACATTTACCTTCTACTGTAGTCCCATTAAATGTACAACAGCATTATGTCTAAAAAAACAATGTACATCCTTTAATTAAAAAACATTGCTTAGTTGAATCACAGATCTGTACCTCTGAAACAAATAATACATTATATGTTAAGGAAAAAAAAAAAAGCAGGAGGGGAAGGATGAAGGGGGGGAAATCGGAGGGGGAGACGAACCATGAGAGATGATGGACTCTGAAAAACAAACTGAGGGTTCTAGAGAGGAGGGTGGTGGGAGGATGGGTTAGCCTGGTGATGGGTATTAAAGAGGGCACGTTCTGCATGGAGCACTGGGTGTTATGCACAAACAATGAATCGAACACTACATCAAAAACTAATGATGTGATGTATGGTGATTAACATAACAATAAATTTTTTAAAAACATCGCTTAAAAATGCTAGTCATTAATCACTGATCACAGATCTCCATAACAAATATAGTAATGGTGGAAGAGTTTGAAATATTGCAAGAATCACCAAAATGTAACACAAAAACACAAAGTTGAGCAAATGCTGTTGGGAAAATGGTGCGTATACACCTGCTCAATGCAGGGTTACCACAACTTTAATTTGTAAAAAATGTAATATCTGCAAAGCTCAATATTAAGTGAAGCACAATAAAATGAGGTATGCCCAAATCCTGAATTTGACTATTAAACTCGCCTCCCCTCCAACTCTAACCTGGAATACTTAGAGCATAACCTTTATTTAAGGCAGAAGTTCTTGAGACCTTACAACATTTTTTGTAGCCTTACAAATGTTTCAAGGTGACTCAACCTTGAGTCCCATAGAACTGTCACAGCTTCTTATCTTTTCAACCGGTGTCTTTGGGAAATACAAAAAGAGAAGGTTGTGAAGAGAGCAGGGAGAAGAAAAGGGACAGATGGTCTTGCACATCAGCCTTGGGAGAGAAATTTTTCTCTTCCCAGCATTGTTTAATGCTATATTTGGGAAGAAAGTGAGTGAGAATAGTTGATGGAGCCAGGTTAAGAGTATCTGGCTGAATTATAATGTGTTTTGACATGACGCTATCTCAAAGTGTTGAGAAAGAATTGGGGATAATAGGCAGAGATTTTCTTCCCCTTCAGAATTTTTAAGTTTAAGTTACTCTAAGTTTGAGTGTTAACAACAGATCATGGTAGTGGCAAGAATCAACAGTATTATCTGTATTAGAGTTCTCCAAAGAAATGGAACCAATAGATGTGTGTGTGTGTGTGTGTGTGTGTGCGCGCACGCCCGTGCATGTAGAGAAAGATAGGGAGGGAGGGAGAGAGACTTACTTTAGGGAATTGGCTCATGCAATTGTGGAGGTTGTCAAGTCCCAAATCTGCAGGCCAGGGTCGCTTACTGGAGACCCAGGGAAGAGTTGATGTTTCTGTTCCAAGGTATTCCCTCTTAAGGCCTTCAACTAAGTGGATGAGGGCCACCCACATTATGAAGGGTAATACACTTTATTCAAAGTCTACTGATAACTAAATGTTAATCTCCTCTAAACAAATACCTTCACAGTAACATCTAGACTAACCATTGACCAAATGTCTGAATGCCGTGGCCTACTTAGTTGACACATAAAATTAACCACTACAGTACTCTTAAGTTCCAAAAGAAAATATTTACCTTGAAATATAAGTTAAGGGCGCCTGGGTGGCTCAGTCGTTAAACGTCTGCCTTCGGCTCAAGGTCATGATCCCAGGGTCCTGGGATCGAGTCCCACATCGGGCTCCCTGCTCCACGGGAAGCCTGCTTCTCCCTCTCCCACTCCCCCTGCTTCTGTTCCTGCTCTCGCTATCTCTCTCTCTGTCAAATAAATAAATAAAATCTTTAAAAAAAAAAAAAAAGAAATATAAAGTTAAATGTAAACATTACAAGCCTTGGGTTTGATGAGTTCATCTTACAAAGAAAGGGAATGTTGCAGCATGGGGTTTATTTGGAAGAAGAAAACTACTTTGTATGGCTTATAATGCCTCTTGTATTCAGTCATGATAACTAACATTTGTATATCAGTTTGTTTTCACACTTTGGGAAGAGGTATCACCTGTTTTGCAGATACAGAAACCAGGATTTTATATATATATATATATATATATATATATATATGATTTTATTTATTTATTTTAGAGAGGGAGAAAGAGCACATCTTAGCAGGGGAGCGGGAGCAGGAGAGAATCTCGAGCAAACTCCATGCACTGAGCGGGGAGCCCGAGGCAGGGCTCAATCTCACAACCCTGAGATCATGACCTGAGCAGAAATCGAGTCGGACGCTCAACTGACTAAGCCACCCAAGCACCCTCCAGGACTCACTATTGACAAGCCTAGGACCCAACCACAATATTCGTGATTTCAGACTCTTGTTAATTCCATTACCCTTGGTTATCTTGGCAGTCACAGAATATTTAAACAGCTCACATAGAAATGATTCTTAGCATGTATGTATTATACAAAAATTTCAGATTATTTCTCAGAAGATTAAATGGAGTGAAGTTTTTGAGTGATTTGATGTTAAGAGATTTCACTCAGCGTAGCTTCAGTAAGGAGAGAAGAAGGATGCTTTTCAAATGGAGAGGAAAAATAAAGACATAATTTACTATCAATTATTGGCTAAGACAAACAGGAAGAGATTTGAAGAGAGGATGTAGCTTAAATGGGAGGAGTATCCTGTCAGGAAGTGCTTTCCTTCCTTCCTTCCTCTCCTTTCCCACCTGCACTTGCTCTGTGGCTTCCTCCCTTCACACCACACCTTGTAAACCCTTTTATGTGCTCGGTTCACAAGAATTCTCATGCATTGTTCCATATTGGGTTGGAACCAATAAAACACACACAAAAAAGGCCAAATGCCTTTTTACATAGGAGATGAACTTTATTCAATCTTTTAAGTTGAAAGCAAGTACAGTTAGTATATATAGCAGGGGACAGTTTCCATATGTTCCAGGAAAGTGGAACTGTATTATTTATAGTTCACAACATGTTGTATAAAAGGAAAGCTTGCAGGGGGCTCCCAGGGAGGTAAATGAGACAAAGGAGGGAAGACTTGGGGTGCTCTATTTAAAAAGAAAAAAAAATTTTTTAAATATTTAACCGATGTATAGGAGAGGTTGTGGTCTTTACCTTACCATAACTTACATTCTAAAATTAGAAGAGACACTGGAGCATGAAGGGAGAGGGGGAAACCCTTAATATTGTAACAATAGGAAAAAGGGGGTTCGGAAAAGCAAGGATAAGTAATTGTCATTAAAAGGATATATCTTCCAAAGTGCAAAGTACAGTTACATGAGATCTGGTTGATATTTGACCCGAGAGTCTCAAAGCCCATTAGACTGCAGCAAGTAATAATTGCTTCCTCATTTAGATTAGACAATGAGCTCTCTCTGCAAGCTGCTCTCCTCTAAATAGATTGTAGAGAGTAATTGAAACAAGTTATACTGGGAAGTGGAGTGACCGATTCCTCAAAGTGTGAGAGCAGAGCTATGGTAACCTCTTAAGCCTGGCCTTCATCCTGTTCCTATTTAGGGAATCTGCAGGGCAGCCAGCGCTGAGCGCAGTCTGCACTTCGCCAGCTTTATTGTTTAGACTTGAAGGGAAGGTCATATGCCCTCTTTGACTG